TAAATATCTTTGTTCTATCTTTAATTGAAAAATTATACCTGATCTGCTTCTCTTTGGGTTAGCATTTACAAAAATTAAAGTAGTTTTATTAGCTTTATTATACTTATTTTTATTTTCTAAATAACGAAATAACTTTTGGCTCTATTAATTACAAAATAAAACCAGCACTATATATTGATACACACACTTTATATTTTTATACCAAAGCCAAACATGTAATATAACGTTGATTATTAATATAAAAAAAAATTAAATTTATTATGTATTAAAAATAATTATAATGAAGATAAGTATTTATATAAAAGACTCTAAAATAGTATTTCTTTCCAGTTTTCTTTCTAGATCTATTAACCTTTCTTTTTTGAGAATTTATTTACAAAGTTTTTTACATTTTTGTATATGCTAAAGTTTCTCAAATAAAAAATGTTTAAAAATTATATCGTTAAGAAAACAAACCCAAGAGATGGCCACAAATGATAAGCCTATTGCAAACTCATTTTTTCCAAGATTAATCATGGCTTTTAGTAAGGTCAAACTTTGAGATTTGTATATGGTTATAGCCTCCACAAGAAAGAGAGAAACCTGCAAATATAAACACATCCCAGACTTACCTTCTCATATACACTGTATAGGGAAAATTGGAATGACCTGAATACCTTTAGAAGTAGTAATAGTAGGTTTATTATATTTGTCAAATACTACTAAAACAGCTATAGAAAGTGAATTATTCTCATGATTGTTATTGAAAAAAATATCTTCTACAGTTCCTATTGCACTATTGACAAGACTAGCTGCTGTTCAAAGATTTGTACTAAGCATAACACGTACATCTTTGGCTAGTAATATCTCTGCTTCTAAACCTTTAGCTTCATCTGAATCAGCCTTTTTTGTCTCAGTTCCACCAAGAGTATGAACAGCATGAATTTTGACAACTAAATAATTTAACATGTAAAGCTTGTCAATATTGATATTATTAATATCTATCCATTTTAATAATATACAGGTGGTATTTAAAAAAGTATCTCATTCTGGTGCAGATAAGTGTTTTGGAAGTTGAGTTATCATTGTTTTCTAGTCTAATTGAATAGATTTACCATCACATAGACATAATAAGAGGTCTCAAAATTGGCATTGTGCTACTGATTCACCAGCTTGATGTTGTATAATGTCAAACTTATTAACTTCCTGAAATTGACTATAAACTATATATCCATCTTCAGATATTGGGTTAGAAGAACGAGTTTTAACATACATTGGAAGATCGCATACTAAAGGAAGTTGTCCAAAGTCATCTACAAAAATTATTGAATAACTACCAAAGAGAATATTGGACAATTCGGAAAGGCCTGATGAAGTTGCAAGTTAATTAAAGCAAGGATTTGATACCCCACTATACTTATTTCATTGACAATGATATATATCACATTTTGCAACTTATTTTGAAGCTGTTTTAGTTTTTTTATCTACTAAATCAAAATTTTTTGCACCAATAAGGATAGAAAGAACAGAGTAGATAGTGCTATCTTAAATATTAAATACTGCAACACCTGTTGGTGCAAGTACTAATAATATTGGTAAATCATCTTCAAGTAGGCCATTTTCTCTTGCTATTTTATAAAGACAATTTCTGACTACCTTAATTAAATAAGACTTTTCAGTTCCTGCAGTATCTATAACTATAATTCATAATAGATTTATCTCTTGGCCTGAGATTATCATATAATAATAAGATTTTATCTGAGCAAATACTACTCTTTGTTTATAATTTAGTATCTTAGAATTGATTGTTTCGAAGCTTTTAATATCTGGCACAAACTTTTACTACGTGCTTGCTGAATAAAGTTATCAGTATTTCCAAAATCAGAGTATTGCCGTTTGCTTTCATTAATCTAGTCATAATTTATGTCAATATTACAGGAACCAACTTTAAGAGAAACATGTATTTGTGTATTGAGATCTGTTTCTGCCAAAAACATCCAACTAGATTTAATTTTTTCTCCTTTTTCTTCTAGAGCTTACATATTATCATCATTACTGCTGCTATCACTGCTATCTTCTTCGAGACTGTCAATTTCAAAGCCAATTAGATCATTGGGATCTGTATTAATTTCTGACCAATTAAGATCATATAATTCTTCCTATAAGAGAGTATTGCTATTTGTAAGCTAGTAGAGGATTTGGTGGCAGACATGAAGGAGAACTTTTGTGTGACAGAAATCTTGCCATTGTGAACCATTTCGCAAAAAGGAGGGCCGGGGCTATATATATACAACATTGTCTTTGTTATATTTAATATATTTCTTTTTAACAAGTTTGTAATTCAGATATAGTTGAAAAAGTAAAAGATCATTTAGATTATTTGGTCAATCCCAATACAATTGCAAAGGTGAAAGTCCTGTTTTTCCAATGCTGTTTACTTCATAACTATATTCATCATAATCATATTCTTCCCTACAACTATAAAGCCATCATGGTGCCTCTTTATTAAAGTTTAATATAACAAAATTGCAACTACTGTGGTAGAAAGAAATTCTAAAAAGAAGATGACACATTTCCTGAGCTGAATAGTTATGCTCTGATATGGTATATAGAAGTAGTTTTTGAAATGAAATAATTGACTTATTATTAGAGTTACTACTACTAAGAGCTTTGTCCAAAATTTTAGAGAATACCTGAGATCGTGGCTCGGCTTTGCTTGTATATTTGATATATATTGCAAAGCAGTATAAGTTGTAAGTAAAGGTTTAAAGTCCACATTTGCTCTCCACTTCTGAAGTTAAAATTGATTATGCAGATTGATAAGATGATTATTCCTATCAGTAATTAATTCTGAATGACCATGCTTATCAAATTTTACAAGAGTTTGATCTCTTAATTCCTTTAGAAAACCAAACCTACAAGATTGCTGATTCATCTGTTTATTAACTTTTAAATAGTATGATGTGCTACAATAAGTGTGCCTTTGTAATTTGTTTATAAAATCTATATAGTCTTGTAACCTAGCATCAATTTTTTCATGATGTTTTTGATATGGGTATCTGTACATTTAGTCCTGGGTTTACAGTTGTAACTAATGAGTTCAGATAACAAACTATTTTATCTATTTGTTTTGGATTTGCTTTTGCACTTTCCTATTGAAATGATAGTACCTTTTTTTGAATTGTAATGCCATGAACATGAACACTTCCATGATGTTGCTATTCAAAATGATATTACCAATCCATCAACCTCTATTTTGGTATTAGTATCTTTTCAAAAAAACCTTAAATCACTTTTTAAAAAACCATGCTACAATATGGGGATTGTTAATGAGATCTTGGCGTTGGTGCCTAGCAGCTTCCTGAATAGATTCTTTAGTAACATTTTCTCCATGCAGCATTAAGTCATGAAGTTTGGGCCAATGCATATCTGTTACACTGAGATAAAAAATATCATTCCATTAAAATTTAACTGCTTTATCATATCTGTTAATTCAGCACGATGTCGTATCCAATACTAATAAGTGCTACATAGTCTCTTCCCAAACCTCACTACTCTATCTGCTATATAGGTATCACTTTGCAACAATTTTTGAACTTCAGCTACAGTAAGTTGTTTTATCTCTAAGTTTTGCTTAATATAGATACATCTTTCTGCTATTGCCCTCTATCGTATTAAGGAATTTAATACAAAATAATGCTAGTGCAAGTGGTAAGCAAATCGGCTGTCTTTATACTTAAGAAAATATTAAAAATATTTAGCTAGTTTTATTTCTTTTAACTATTGGGCACGTAGATCAGCAGCACCTTAAGAGAAAAGTGTAGAAAATGCATGTGCTATATATCCTACTGTGTGAAATTCGTTAATAGGTGTGTTATCGATAATAGGCTAGTTAGCTAACAAATTATTGTCATATAAATTATCATTTTGTAGGTGATTTAGAGTATTATGAATAGCATCATCCTCATTATTTCTAAAAGGTAGTGCAGGAACAAAGGTTCATAAAATCAAATCATCACTTTTACTATCTTCATTATTATCATTACTTTTATTAACATTTAAATATTCATTGTTTTTATAAATAAATTGATTGTTAGAGATTTGTGAAAGCTAGTCAATTATTAAACCTTTTTCAGGTAAGGACTGTAATATATCTTCAGCAATCTCAATATCTTGGTAAAAGATGTTGTTTGTTTTTAACTAATTAAGAGCTTGAGTAACTTTTTCTCTGCGTACAATAAAATTTTGAAAGGTTGATTTATCACCAAAATGTCGTTGTATGACTAGCATATCTAATAAAGATAGTGAATGCGGAAGATAAGTCATGAATTCTTAAACATCTTGTAGAAAGTTGATAATATTCCTGCGATATACATATTAGCCTCTACAAAGGTTATAAGCTAATATAACTGTGAATACTTGAGCGATAAGCATTTCTTCAATTTTGGTAAGGTCCTTAAGCTTCTAAGGTACTTCGCCTAAAAAAATAAAATAAAATAGATAAAAATAAACAAATATATTATTACAATATAGTGAAATTCTCTAAATGTATATCCTTGAGACCAGACTTTAATATGCTTTTAGAGAATAACAAAAAAAAGTAATTATTTGGACTAGAAGTTTAAAGAGGGTATGCACTTATTTAAGGGTGTATTTAGAAAGATTTTACTATGCCTTTAAAAAACTATAATAATTTTATTTATTTATTTATTTATTTATTTTTTTTTTAATGTTTAAGGTGAGACTAATAATTTTATTTATTTATCTAAGTTTATATTATTATCTGCAGAAAACTTTTTTGGTGTATTCTTATCTTGATAACAACACCTACATTCTTCTCTAAAAATTTCAATAGACAGAAATCACTCATTATATACACCACAGAGGTTGTTACAAAGCTTTTTCATTGTATTTTGAAAGTTATCTAGAAGCTTTTGGTCAGCCGCAGAAAGCTGTTCTATGTTGATAGATTCAGTTTGATTACATCATTCTGTTTTTTTTTGAGCAAAATTTTTTTGGCATTAACTAAGGTGTTCTTCTGCAGTTTCTAAGGCACGTTTTTTGCGCATGTTTAATGCATTTTGTTGCTTTCTTTTGTCTTTCTGTTCATCTGATTCTAGAGTACGTTTTTCACACTTTTTTTGCTTATCTTTTTTACGTCTGCTACTAAGATACTTACTATTGTTATTCATTTGATTTAAATGTATATTAGGTAAGAGCAGTTGTGATTGGCTATTCATTTTAAATTTTCATGCAAAAATGTGGGTAAATTTTAATCTTTTTGGAAATACTAATATAAAATACAATAATAAATGATATTTGTAAATAATGTATTCTTTCCCTAAATTTTATTGAATTCATATAATTTTATAGCGTGATAAACACATCTTTAGTTGTAATTGTGCAACAAATATTCGATTGATAATTGTAACAAATAATGAATAGAGCAAGTTTTTGTTTTTTATTTTAAATTGAATCGATTTTACTAACTTTTTGTTTATGATTTATTGAGCATTCAATATAAGATATGATATTAGTATTTAAAGGTGCAAAAAAAAAAATAATAAATTGATTGTTGTATTAATTAATTTTATTCTTTTATCAGAGATTATTCTACATCTCATTATGATCGCATGATAGGAATTAATGTGTTATTAATTATAATTTTATAAATTTTTTTCTTTATTTTTTTTCTTTATTTATGAGGTGATAACAAATATTTGTTATTTTCTCAAAAAGTTAAAATTGTAAAGACAATGATAAAAATAATTAATAACATGAGTCCCTGTTATGTCATATGAAACATTGAATAACTCATTTATTCTACTATACAGGGAAAATAATTAAAATATCTTTCTAGTACCCTATATATGCTGCTGGGAAAATACCTACTGTCTCAGGGAATAAATAGTATATATTCTAATATTGCATCTCATAAATCCTAAAAATGGCTAAATTACAGTATTTGAATGTTTAGAGTCAAAAATTTAGAACACTTCAAATTATGCTATATAAAGTTAATATATTGTTTTTCATAACTTTGACAGGTGGTACATACTATAAAGTTTATAAGTTGTGAAACAATTAATTAGCCTTATATAGCTTTAAGTGAAAAATTTTAGAAAATTTTGACATCACTTTGTATATACGTATATCCATATATTAGTTTATAATTTCTCCCTGCTGTAGTTCATGCATAAAATGCTATACAAATCAGGCTGTCTACAAAATCTGCTATAATATAAATTTTACAAAAAATTAAAAAAAAAGAATTGTGATTTGACAAATACTCTTTAACAGAGAGCGAGTAATACTGTGGCTAATTATGTATATATATTGTTGCTTCGTTAATTTTATATTGATCTATCGATCTGCCACTTTATATTTCTAGTCATTGAAGCTACTTCACTTGGAGTATTAGATACCAAATGATTTACTATCATAGTGCAGCACTATATGATCGGCCTACTATTTAAGATTTTTAAAATTTTAGTGATCAATTTATTAAAAAATTTATCAGTAGTTTTATAATAAAAACCACATATTTTTAAAATATTCTAACTCTTGCTCTAGCAGAGCAAATTTAATTCTGTAACTTGCAAATTATATATAATTAGGATGTTTTTAAAATTATGTTGAGATATTTTTCATTTAATTTTACTAATTTGGCTAAAATTA